TGGCAGCACTAACAACTAATACACTAATACAGCAAGTCGTTAAATCTAGAGCGTCAGTTTCCACAACGGCAAAATGGGAATCCCTGGCCTGCCCACCTCATGGGTGTGCTGTGGGGATAAAATGAGACCAGATATGGGAGATCTTTGTAAACTCTGAAGAGTTCTACAGATGACAGGATCTTTAGCTTCACTTTCAGAGCTGGATCTTTGGGTCTTGCTGGGCAGTAAAGCAAAGAAAGTCATGGGATCCTTGGATTGTAGGTCCCAGTGAGAGGTGTAGGAGCTGGAATACAGCCTTGGCAATCTCCTGCTCCCAACACCCCAGGGAAGGGAGGGGAGCCACCCTCCTCCACAGTTATTTAGTGGATGTGGGAGAAATAGAACTTGCGTGGGAGAAGGGAAAGGGAACAGAACAGAAACTGGAGAGCTCTAAGAAATTAAAAGAAAAAAAAGGACACATATAAGACCCTGGGAGTTTTCTGGATAAAAACAATAGCTTTTATTTGCATGATACTCTGCAGGTCACAAAACACTTGGAGGCACTGGGTTCTCGTTATCCTATTTGAGGTCAGGAATGTCTTTGAGAGTCTGATGAAAGCTATGTACCCTCTCTCAGAAAAAAATAACCCATGCACACAATAAATACCACATTATACAGCAACACTGTCCATCAGAACTCCCCATGAGGATGAAAACGTTCTGTTGCTACACTGTCCCATATGGTAGCCACTGGCCTCATGTGACTACTGAGCACATGAAACATAGCTAGTGTGACTGAGGAACTGCATTATAAATTTTCTAGTTTTAATTCTTTAATATCCACCCATGGCTAGTGGCTTCTGTGCTGGACAGCATAGTGACATACTATTCCAAGGGATCCAAAGATCCCTGCAGCTCATCCATGACATACCCTTGTCAATGGGCCCCACGTTACGAACTCTTTGTGATGACTACACTGTCCTCATAATAACTATCTTTTCTGAGTTTAGCAGATATATGTATCATGTCATTTAATCCTATTGAAAACCCATGACAGAGCTAGAATGGTCAACCCCATTTTTTAGATGTGACTACTGAGGCGCTCAGAAGCCTATCATCTTACCCCAAGTCTGGTGTCTAGGTCACGGAGGACGACTGGACCTGAAAGTCAAGACCTCCTGACGTGAGACCTCAAGTCTTCCCTAACTCCCTAACACCTGCCCTGCGGGTTTCACCAACTGAAGCCCAAGTTCCCTCCTGAGACCTTGATAGAAATTCTTTCCATCAGGTAACCTAAAGAACTTCAATTCACACTGCTATGCATCTATAAAGTGACAAGCAAGAGCTTTCGGGACTTCTCCTTGAAACCTTCAGCTCAGTCTCTACTGAAGCCAACTTCACATTGGTAATAAATATTCTTCCATTATGGTTTGTCTCTGATCTTCCCTTTGGCAGGGGGATGGTTTCCTGTACTCCATTCGTCCTGATTCCCAAGGCCACAGAGGGCATGGTGCTGGTGAAGAAATTGGGTTTTTCCAGGTGGGACACCAGTGACCACAGACTGCCTCTCAAATAAAGAACCTGGAACCTTCATGCTAGGAATGTACTCTTTGCCTTCCTGATAAAGAAGGTTCATGCTCTGGGCCAAGAAACCCCAAAACACAATAGTGTTCACAGGGCAGTGGACCATATGTGTCCACATCCTACAGGTCAGTCCTTCACCATGGCCTATGGAGCAAAAACCCTGAGAACTTAACGAAACTCACTCCCACACTGTATTTGTATCTCACTTCTAACTTGTAGAAATTCCCCTCAGTCACCAGGTATATTCAGATTGTATCTTATCAGCCTGGAATTCTATATTCCACAGTTCTTCCCCCACAAAAATATTCCTTCAAGGCCCAGCCCAAATGCCATACACCTCCATGAAAAGTTCTAACATCCAAGCTTCCAGAACATGGTCCCAGAATATGCTGTTAACATGTCTACTGATATGGTTTGGCTGTCTCCCATCCAAATCTCATCTTGAATTGTGGTTCCCATAATCCCTACATGTTGTGGGAGGGACCCAGTGGGGGGTAATTTAATCATGGGGACTATTACTCTCATGCTGTTCTCATGATAGTGAGTGAGTTCTCATGAGAGCTATGGTTTTATAAGGGCCTTTTCAACCCTTTTGCTTGGTACTTATCCTTCCTGCCACCATATGAAGAAGGACATGTTTGTTTCCCCTTCCACAATGATTGTAAGTTTCCTGAGGCCTCCCCACCCGTGGGGAACTGTGAGTCAACTTCCTTTCTATATTACCCAGTCTTGGGCAGCTCTTTTTTTTTTAGACACAGTTTTGCTCTTGTTGCCCAGGCTGGAGTGCAATGGCACAATTTCAGCTCACTGCAACCTCCACATCCCAGATTCAAGCAGTTGTCCTGCCTCCCTCCCGAGTAGCTGGGATTACAGGAATGTACCACCACACCCAGTTAATTTTTTGTATTTTTAGTAGAAATGGGGTTTCTCCATGTTGGTCAGGCAGCTCTTAAATTCCCAACCTCAGGTGATACACCTGCCTCGGCATCCCAAAGTTCTGGGATTATGGGCGTGAGCCACCTCGCCCAACTGGGCAGTTCTTTACAGCAGCGTGAGAACAGACTAATACATCTACATAGTACTTATTCCATTACTGCCTTGTATTGCTTCTTTTTCTTTTTGAGACAAAGTCTCACTCAGTCGCCCAGGCTGGAATGCAATGGCAAGATCTCAGCTCACTGCAACCTCTGCCCTCCTGGGTTCAAGCTATTCTCCTTCTTCAGTCTCCCAAATAGCTGGGATTACAGGCGCATGTTACCAGACCCAGGTAAGTTCTTTGTTTATAGTAGAGACAGAGTTTCACCATGTTGGCCAGGCTGGTCTCAAACTCCTGATCTCAAGTGATCCTCCCCTCTCAGCTTCCCAAAGTGCTGGGATTACAGGCATGAGCCACTGTGCCCGGCCTGTATTGCTTCTTGAGTGTGGGGTCCATGGTGCTTCTTGAGTGTGGAGTCGATATCACATTCTGCTTTTAAATTTCCAATCTCATTCAACAGGGTGCTTAACGAGGAGTAGACACTCAGTAGACTAGTGGTTCTCAAACTTGTTAAAACACAGATTGCTGAGCCCCACCCAGAGAGTTCCCACTTCAGCAGGACCTGGGTAAAGCCTGAGAATCTGCATTTCTAATCATCTCAAGTGACGCTGACACTGCTGGCCTAGGGACTTTAAGAAGCATTTTAAGAGGTGTTTGTGGAATAAATAAAAGATGGAATGGATAAACATTTCCCTGAAAAAATCCTATCACCAAGGGCTACAAAAATGAGCCTTCAAAACATCAGGATAAAAGATGTATATTACCAACATTTACTTCTAAATAAGAAGCAAAAATAGAATCAGCAGAAAAAAAAGAATGTCAAAAGAAATCAGGGAACCAGATGAAAAAACATATCAGAAAAATTTTAGGGTCACCACTGGTTGTTTTCCTTTTAGCCCTACCTGATAACTTCTTATGATCAGACCGGAAATTAAAAATAAGTTCATTTTTCTTCTTTTCTCTTTTTGAGACACAGTCTCACTCTGTCACCCAGGCTGGAGTGCAGTGGCACAATCTCAGCTCATTGTAACCTCTGTATCCTGAGCACAAGCGATTCTCATGCCTCAGCCTCCTGAGTAGCTGGGACTACAGGTGCGCACCACTATACCTGGCTAATTTTTCTATTTTTAGTAGAGATGGGTTTCGCCATGTTGGCAAGGCAGGTCTTGAACTCCTAACCTCAAGCCATCTGCCTGCCTCGGACTCCCAAAGTACCAGGATCAAAGGCATAAGCCACCGTACCTGGCAACAGGTTCATTTTTCTGACTCAGTCATATATTTTTAAATATTCTAAGGAAACACTGACTCAATAAAACCAAAACTGGGAAATTTTCATAAGAAAATCATTAGAAATGAATGTCAAAATGATGCACAAAGAGAGTTGTGAAGCCCTGTTTATATTATCCAGAAATTTGGAACAGCTTAAATGTTTGGCAAAAGAAATTAGATTCAATAAATGATGATATGTCCATAAACAGAATGCTATAAGACCTTTTCACAAGTGTCTTACAGGGGAACATGTATTGACACAGAAAAGAAGCACAAGACAGCAAATGAAAAGCGAAACAAGCTAAAAAACGGTTTACACAGCACGGTCTAACTTTAGACACAAACCACAAATAGATACAGAGAAATAGAAAAAAAACAGAGATAAGGATAGAGAACTATTTATCAAACTGGGAGTCAGAACAGAAATTATTTTTTAATTTTAACATTTCTATTTCAATCATTTCTACAATAAACACAGACTGCTGTGTAATTTATTTACAGGGTCTTAAAAAATAAATGATAGTCCGTGGCGGTTTATTTGCCCCATTTCTTCTCATGAAGGACCAAAGAGTTGAACTGAACCTGAGCATTTGTATAAGCTTTTCCCCATCCTGCTCTTTTGCAAACACCAACACAATTTGGGGTCCATTTATAAGGCGTCTGCTCTACCAACCCCCCTTCTTGGTGCTTACTGGACCTGCTCAGGGTTAATTTCGAACTCAAAGAACCTAACCCTGAATAACTGCATAGCACCACCAAAGCGACTGGCTTTGGGGAATGACATTTACAACGCATCCATTGTTATGTGGTCACCCAGCAAACTGCCATTTTTCAGAAACCAGGGCTGTCTCACAGACTGGTTTTCAATAAGGTGGGTTGCTTAGCAACAGCCAAGGAAGTAAGAAGGCAGAATAAGGCATCCGCCAGAGACATTTTATGACCAAAATGAGCTGCACTCATGTGTCTGGCTGTGTTCAAGGTAACCAAGTACGAGATAACACCCAGCTATTTTTGCATCATGAGGAAAAATACTTGGCTTCTGCCCAGAAGGACAATTATCTCAAAGTCTTGGCAGGCCCCATGGTATGAGAAATGGTAACTGATACGGGGGTGAAGAAAAAAAATCACTGACCTTCATAAATACTGATGATATGAGGATGGTTGAGAGATGACATGATCTCAATCTCTCGTCTGATGTGAACCATGTCTTGTTCATCCTTAATTTTGTCCTTACGAATGGATTTTATAGCAACCTATAAAGTCAGGAAATGAAATGTTATTCAGAGAACTAAACAGATGCAAATCAGTCATTGGGGGAGTTTGGAAAATAAATACAGATGTTACTTGTTGGCAGAACCGACAATAACCGAAACAAAGCTTGAAAATGCCCCGTCACATCTTTCATATGCAGCAAAAACACCCTTTCCCTAGCCACAGAAAACAGCACGTTTTAGCAGCCTGGAATTTCTGATGGTTTGTTTTTAGTTAGTTTGTTTGTTTCATAAAGTAGAGGCTGCTTAACACAGCCAGAGTCATTTACTCCATGAACCCTGATCCTTTGAAAAAAGAAAAAAGGCGAGTTCGGTTTACAGGGCATTGATGATGAAACGTTGGTTAGGTGAAATTGGTACCATTCAGCTCCACTGTGCGGCTGCCACAGCAGTGGCTGTAGAAATCATTACTGCCTGGCCAACCTCGAGGCCAGCTCTACCCCAAGCCTTGGCTTTTAAGACTCCAGGCTATGCTGTGTTTACGCAAGAGCTCAGAAGCCAATTTCTTCCTGTATCCTTCCTCTTGCCCAAGTCACCTTCAATAGCACATGATATGACAAGACGGCTCTTCTGGACCAGTCAGGGTGAAACAAAGGGACTGACAGCTCATCTCACTGTCTGGCCCTGTCAATTCCCAAAGCTCAGCGCCAATGTTACAAATCCAAACTGCAGAGACCTACCAGGGCCAACACACAGAGCAATCACTCAAAAGAAACGCATCAAGAAAAAGGCATGAATGGCAACAGGAACCTAATAAGGAAAGCGGGTTTGCCAACAGATTCACCTTTGCTCATAAACGAGCTGGCTGGTAACTTAATCAGACTGGCTCTCAGGGGGCCAAAAACTGCTGGAGGAAGGGAGTATCCACAGGTAACACAGAAGCCCACCAATCGATTTGCTGCCGGATCAGAAAGCTTGCCTAGTTCTCTTCCAGGCTGGTCCTTTTGTGACCTCAGCTCTCATCTGTTGAGGTCAGGTAACTTTTCCTAGAGGAAAGGTAGCCAAACCATCCTTCTAAATTATAAAGGCATAGAGTTATCTGGAGGAAAGAGAGCCCTTGTTACCAGCAGCCCACGGCCACACTTTGCCTACCTCACAGTCAACCCCAGCCAGCCTCAGCAGGGATATATTCACTTTTGGGAGCACGTGCTACCTCTGACTTGCACCAGCTCTCAACCAAGCACTGCAAATGGAAACATTTCTAAAATACACCAGTTCTTCTATGACTCAACAAGAACTGGGAAGCTGTTATGATTGTTTTTGCTGTGTGCTGACCTCCCAAAAGACAGGTTCATCTGACTAACAGCTCCCTGGCTTTCTCCTTTGCAGGCCTTTCCCCAGTGGTGATTAAATGAGGCTTTGTGTCTTTACCTGGCTCTACACATACGGGGATCTTATTTACTGTTTTTTTTTTAAACCTCCAAACTTAACATCATGCTTGGCAAATGGTAGACCTGAGAAAATATTCAGTGTAGGCAGGTAGACAAAAAAGGAAGGAAAGACAAAGGGAAGGAGGAAAGGAGGCAAGCTGGAGGGAGGGGAGGCTTGGTGTTATTAACTGATGCAAGCCCAGGCCAGAGAAGTGGTAGCAGAACTGGGGCAAAAAGGGGAAACCACCCTACTTAAGTAATACTGCCCAGACAAGCATAATAGTAAGATGATCAAGAATTTCTTTAACATCTATCTACACAGGCAATGGAGGAATAGATAAACAGGTATGAAACACAGGACGCCCTGCTGTAAACCCAGAGGCAGGCTCCACCTCCCTTCAACCGTGGGTGGACCCATGGCCGGACAGAAGGAGGCTACATGGAGATGAATGAGCCTTCTGGCTTAAAGGCCCCTTTTCAGCAGAGAGCCAGACTCAGAGCTACCCCAGGCCCTCACCACAGCCCCATTCAGTACCTAGCAAGAAAAACTTCCCTTCGCTTACGTCAAATGTAAAGATATGACTGGATGGCTTTATTTTATCTGAGGAAGGGCTACAATCCTGGGAGCTTGTTCTGGGAGGAAGCAGACAGTGAACACACACAGGCCGTGGAGGATGTGGGTGGCTGCTGGAACAACTCCTACATTCCTCCATAAGCTAAAGACGGGCAAGGGTAGAAACCACCCCTTTGATTATGCGGCAAGCTGAACTTGACCTTAAGGAGGCTCTATTGTCAAGTTACAATAGGCATAAATTCTTCACCATACAGGGTAAGAGGAGGGTAGCAACATTCTAAGGCGTAAAAAAAGAAGCCCACTTGCTAATTCCCGACTAACAGCCCAGCGCGGCAGAGGGTCCCACGGTGCCATCGCCAGGGGATGCTTCCAGCTGGGTGTGAAATGGAAAGTGCCCACATTCTCATCAAGCCTTGCTCAGCGCTGAGGAAACTAAAAGGGCTCCATAAATGTTAATAAGCATGGTGGCTGTCTCTCCACAAAAATTTCCCTTTTCCTACAGTGAATCTTCCACTGAAAATGTAAAAGAGGGTGCATTCTGCTTCTCTATTTCAAAGGGGTGACAGTAAGTCAGGAGGAGACAACGCTAGAAATCACTTACATCTGTGTACCTGCCAGGCCTGGAGAAAAGACATTCAGCTCTACTCCAGAGTGGTGGGACCCAGCCAAGGTTCAGACAGCCAGTTAATGACAAAACACAAAAACAATACTACTGCTAGTAACAATGGCCAGCCTTCATTAGCCACTTAACACATGGAGCAGACACCATGCTGAATGCTTTACCAGGGATCTTTGCGCCCTTCTCATTCAAGCCTCAGCTTTACACCACCCTCTCAGGAAGACCCTTCTTGACCCCTCTAGCTGATAAGGCCACCCTTATGGCCACCTCCCTCTCTACACCCTTCCCATTTTATCTTCTTTGGGGCATTTCACACCAAATACTTTATTAGCTGCATATTCAGTTTTTGTAGCACCCAGGGAGCTAAGAATGGTTGTCACATTGAGGTTTGTCAAGAAAAAAATAAGGAAATCTGAAATGCAGCTCCTGTGTGCATTTACGAGAGTGTCTGCTTCAGGAAGTAGAAGAATACGCTGAGCCAGTCCACGGACAGTATTGCATAATGCTTAGAAACAAGGCTTATGTCCAGGCTAATACCACTCTCTAGCTGTGTGACACTGGTAAGTTACATAACCTCTGTGTGCGCCAGTTTTCTCATTCATCTGGTGGAGAAATAATAATATCTGCCTCACAGGTCCTGGTGAGGAGTACGTGTGAGGTGCTCAAGAATACGCCTGGGCCAGGGGGTAACTGCTCAATAAGCGTCAGTCTTTTTTAACCCAGAGTGAGAGTCCTGAAAGTAGAACTTTCCTTTTTCCTTTCTTCTTCAGAGCAAACTTGAATTCCTCCTGGCTCCTCAAAGGACAGTGAGTAGAGGTCTTGGGGACATGCTTCCAAAATACATAAAGGACAAGAGCATCCCCATCTTGGGTCTTTACATTGCAACCTCATCTGAAATCAGGAAGACCAGCTGGGCACACACCATTATCAGCAGGGCCCCTGAGACGGGAGGAGTAATAACTTGAACCCGAAAAGCAACCCCAGGACCATTTCTCCATCCGCTCCACACCGTCTCCTTTGACCATTCAGCTGAATGGGCACAAACATGTTTCTACTTAGAATCAAAAGTCTGCCTCAAGATATCCACACGTCGGCCGGTATGAAATGTGACTTTTCATCCACTTGTTCTTTTTGAAAACCTACCATGTACCAGGCTACAAAGGAGGAAGGCAGCATGACTGCCCCAGCCCTCAAGGTGGGTGGTGGGGTGGGGAAGGTACAGGCAATGAGCAAAACTCACACCAGTAATTACATAATTGCCCTCGTGGCCAGGGCTACTGAAGAAATGTACAGACATGCCCGGCATTGCTGAGGAAACCTCCTCTCCAGTGTGCCTCAATTCCCGCATCTACAAAGAAACACAGAGGTAAGGAAGGGGCCCAACAGGAAGGGATTACCAAATGTCTGAAATCACATACCCTCCACCCCCAAAAATCCCATTTGTTCCTGCACAAGTCAGAGAGCCTGAGAGGAGTAGGGAACTCAGGTGTTTAAGCCCGACTCACAGTACAGCCACATTCATAAACGTTCCCAAGTCTAGACGGCTCCGTGTGCCTCATAAACGATCTGCTTTTAAGTAAGGCCACCCTATGGCTTAATGTTTAAACCTTCTGCAGCAGCAGGTTTGGTGGAGAACCTGTGAATCCTGCCCTGCAGTGCCTGCCTGTTTAAGAGGCAAACTCAGCCCAGCTGATTCCCATCTCTGTAACATGCAACAGGCACAGCCTCCTCCTGGCGGTTGGAGTTTTTCCTTTTTTGAATCATCACCAAAAACAACCTGCTCTGTGGTCTGCCGGCCATCCTCTCCCACAGTGGCTGCTGTGGGTGTTCAGAGCTCAGTGACCTAGGCAGGGTTGGGGATGCAGAGTGGAAGAGTAAAAGCTCAGACTGTCACCGACTGGGTGACCTCAGGCAAGCCCGAACTTCCCAGGTCTCAGTTTCCTCATCTGTAAAATGGGGTTAGAAAAAATTCTGTTTCTTGGGGTTGTGGTGAGGAGTGGAAATGAGGTAAGTAAAGGCCCCGGCACACAGTATTCACTGAATGGGGTGATTATAAAGCACACTTAAAGGGTAATGAGCTCACGGCAAATCATATCAGAGGTCTCTCCGCTCCCTTCCACCCCCACACGCATCCTTCCCCTCCCCACATTTGCACAGTGGTAAATAAAAGCAGGTTAAAATTAATATCTGGCCAGCCCCAGGGTGTCCTGGTGTCTGATGGAGAGGACGCCTGTGTAGCACAGGACCAGCCTTGGGGGCATGGTGGAGAGTAGGGGCAGGCTGTATGTTGTTGAGGCTCTAACCAAGAGGATGGCTGCTCTGCTCCTTCTGTAGCCATCTGCCTGCATGCTCGTTCATTAACATAAGCTGGCCTTCAAGGAATATTCTTATAAAAAACTGCCTCTCACACAGGAGTCAC